TTGCCCTTTCTCCTTCACTCTCCCTCAATCCCTCCTCTTTCTCCTTCACTTTTCCTTGATCCCTCTTCCTCCTTCCCTTCCCACACAATCTAAAACCCAAATTTGGGTTTTACTATTTAGGTTTTACTGATGTAGTTTCTTTTACTAGACATAATTGCTTCCATGGCTAGCTATTTCCCTTAATACGATGCACTACAAAAATCCTTATTTTTAGCAACCATTTATCAGCAACATGGGTTTATTTGTCAATTATATAAACTCACCTACAAAATCTATGTTACTAATAGTTGTACAGTACCATTTCCCCTCTAAAAGTGGGCTTCACAATCAACAAGAAGGGTTATGTTGCTGAAAACAGACATTAGCAACATGGCTTATATTGCTAAAATTTTCCAATCACCTAAAACTTTAACAACATATACCTTTATACATTAGCAACAAGATCCATGTTGCTGATATTATGATAAACAACAACAAAGGCTATGTTGCTGAAAACAAACATCAACAAGATGGCTTGTGCTGCTAAAATATTCCGTTCACCTTAAACTTTAGCAACATATACCATGTGGCTAAAGCTATACATTACCAACAAAACCCACATTGCTGTTATCCATTGATTGGTAGGTAGGTAAAGTGAGATTTACCAACATATTTTATGTCAATAATAATTGAAACCGTGATATCACCAACAAGAAATATGTTGCTGAATTAATTATGTTGACCAATAGCTATAAAAGGTCATTATATATACACCTTTCTTCTGCCATTATACATACCAATTTCTCCTTTTGTAGTCTATGTTATTTGTCCCTTAATTTCTCAATTCAATTTTTTAATTGCTTAATTAACAAATATTTGCCTAATTTACCTACAAGAGCCTCCTTTTTCTTAGTTTTAATACCCAGTAAATGGATAGCCAATAATACTTTGATAGCCAATTTTGATGGTAAAAAAAATTGGTTTTATTTTCCCTTCCCTTATTTCTCATTTCCCTTTCGTACATACTCTTTATGAACGAATTATTTAATTTTATGTGATTTTGTATAGGAATTGTTTATGAAATTCCTAAATCCTCTTGGACTTGCCCATCTCAGAGTCTTTCTAGAAGGAAGTTGAAAAAAAGCAAGGAATTATGTATTAATGGGCTAACACATGTCATTGCCTAACATTGTAAACTACTCTATTTGTCAAATATGTGATAGTCCTAGACATTTAGCCACTGTGTGCCGCACCGATATGCAGTAATTGCCAACTGTGTAATCGTGAAAGTCATATTGCAAAATTTTGGTCAAATCGTTACTGATCACAATTTGTGTCAAACCCATCTGAGACCCCTAAAGAGTCCTTTGAAAATATTACAAAGATTTTTGGTAATGGTCATTGGCGTCTTGCATTTCAAAAAAAGTATGGGGATGATGCTCTTCGAATATTACATTCTATTCAACAACCATAGTATCATTATGTTAGTTACTTGTATTTTTTAATATATCTTATAATTTCCCTTATTTTGTTATGGTTATTTATCTTGTTTTCACATTCCAACCTTTATCAATGATTTCCAATTTTTTACTCACATGGGTTATTGAGATTCTTGACAAAATTCATTGGTTTGGCCCCCTTTAGCTTAAGAGTCAAATCTTACAAGTTAGAGTCGACTCTATAGGATCAAGAGTCAACTCTTAACATGGAGAGTCAACTATGACTTGAACCCAAAATATTACCAACTTATTGAAATTTTGGAGTTGACTTTTGACCTCATAGAGTCCAATTTGGATGCCCCAATAATCAGATATAGTTTTTTGGAGTCAACTTTGAACTGCACCACACATATTCCTAGTTTAGCTCCAAAGTTGAATGTAGAAGCCGAAGTCAAAGCTTTTTGCTTGAAAAGTCAAATATAGAATGCTATATTCGACTCTTTAACCCAATTAGTTTTCTAGATTTTTATTTAATCCATTGCATGACTTTTTAATTGCCCATTTAAACTTTGATTCATTAAACATCTTAAAGGGTTTACTTAGAAATTGCTTCATTTGTTAAATTCCTAATTACATAGTCTAAATCAATAAGCAAGATAGGATTTTAATGCCGTTAACCAATTGAGATAAGTTTTGTGCAGCATCTACTTTCAAGCAACAAGTTCATAAAAAGCATTTAGGGTTTAAAGGCAAGCATTCATGCAAACTAAATCCATCCCCCAAAATTTCACCATAGAGACCTCTGTACATAATAGTAAATCAAAAAATTCATCAACCTTTCTCCCCATTTTTGTCATTCATAAAAAAGGACATAAGAATAGCAACCAAAACTCCCCCTTAATAGATGCACATCAACCTTTTAAACCACAAACAAAAATGCTTGTCATGCACACTATGAATTAACAAATTGCTACCCCTCAATGTAAGCACATTCACCACATAATCAACAAAGACATAATCATCACAATCACAATAGAGACCTTTATAAAAATGCTTTAAAATTAACTTCATCTACTACTAATTTTATCTTTACATGTAAAAAAATAAACACCCTAAGAACATAAATAAACCTTTCAAACATAGAGTTCAAATAGTAAAATGGAAATTCAAAGGGCATCAACAATTGGAACATGAGTATTTACACTTCCTGATGTGAAAAGAGATCAATAGGTTACTGTAAGGATGATGTGCCAACAGTAGATAGATCTCCCATTCTCTCTCGAATGTGATCATCGAGTTTCTTGTCAATTTGTGAAAGCCTCTCAAGAATGAGCTGAATTCCTTTATTTGTGTTGATTTTCTGAGGAAGTCAAGATGAACCAAGTTGTGAGAGACCTCTTTATTTAGTTTCGTTTGCAATTTCTTTCGCATTTTCTTCATCCTCAGATCCCTCACCTTCCTCATCTTGTCCTCTTCTCTACTTTTGCTACTTCATTGGCCAAGAATTTGTTCTTGTACTATATACATAGCCCTTTTTGTTTAGCAAAGTGTTATTAAGAAGCTTAGTGTTATTAAGAAGCTTGTGACTATAGAGGTTTCAAGACTCTATACCTCGCAAATCAACCCTCACATTTTCCATTAGTAATGTGATGAGAGTTTCGTACACCAGTGCGAGTGTCGATCTTGTCCTAAAATACATTATATGCCTCATCATATGGTGTCCTAAATTGATCTATCTCTGAGCAACAATATAGGCAAACCATACATAATCTAGAGCACTAAATTTTCCAAATAACCCTTGTTTTGGAAAAATAATGTGTTATAAATCCAAAACATTAATTGATGCTCTAGGTTCAAGTGGTGAATGGTTAATGTTTTTGCCTCATCCCAATTATTCCCTATTAGAAATTTCTTTGTCGATCACTCCGTACAGTCATCTAATTCTCAAGCTCCCTCATTTGGCAAATGTAGAACATAATTAATGGTTTCAACATCAAATTCAATATTTTTCTTAAGAACAATGGTTCTTAACACTCCATCCTCCATAGCACTCAAATGTACATAAAAAATCTTTATAAATTATGGGTAAATCTTCACTTTGCTAGTTACTAATTCTATCTACCCCATTGCATCTAGCATTTCCTTTACATGCAGCCTACCTCTACATAAATCCTCCAAAACCATTCTAAACCCATAAATCACATTTCTAGTTGCTAGTTTCTAATATGCTTCTTTAGCATTTCTAGAAACAAAGTTTCGAGGGTTATCAAGTTG